AGCACTCTACCACTTGAGCCAAAGTTCCACTTTTGGCTTTTTTGGTAGTTAATTAGAAATAAGCCTGCTCTGGCTTTGAACCGTGATCCTCAGATCTCAGCCTCCTGAGTAGCTGCGGGGGGGGGGTTCTAGTTGTGAGCCACTGGCACACAACTAGATGTTTTGTTTGTTTTTTCAGATCTTGGACTAGAACTACCATGCTAGGCAAGCACTCCACTACTGAGCTATATCCCCTAAAATATTTTAATTTGAAAGCTAGTTTCTTCCTACAGAATATATAATGCGATTGTAGTATGTCATTTGGGCTTTTGCAGTTTAATTCTGTGCTCTGTAGTACTGTGATTGTATAATAGAGTAAGCCAGGCTATTGTTTGAAATGTTGGCAGTTTAAGTAGGCATATGGTTTGTTTGATAATTCCTGCTGTACACTCTGCTGTCATAGTGTTGTTTTTTTTTAATTTTCTTTATTCTTCCTCTTTTTTTTTGCTGGTCTTGGGTCTTGTACTCAACCTGGAGTGCTGTCCCCTGAGCCTCTTTGGCTCAAGGCTAGTGTTCTGCCACTTGAGCCACAGTACCACATCTGGCCTTTTCTAAGTTTATTGGAGATAAGAGTCATGGACTTTCCTGCTTGGGCTGGCTTTGAATCATGATCCTCATATTTCAGCCTCCTGTGTAGCTGGGATTGCAGGCATTAGCTACCATTGCCAGGCTTCTTATTTTCTATTTTGTATACAAAGTACAGCGTGTGTGTGTGTGTGTGTGTGTGTGTGCGCGTGTGTGTGCGTGTGTGTGTGCGCGTGTGTGTGCGTGTGTGTGTGTGTGTGTGTGGTGTGTGGTGTGTGTGGTGTGTGCGCACGCACCAGTCCTGGAACTTGAACTCAGGGCTTGGGTTCTTAAGCTTTTTTGCTCAAGGCTAGTGCCCTACCACTTGAGTCACAGCTTCACTTCTGGCTTTTTTTTGTGCTTAATTGAAGATAAGAGTCTCATGGATTTTCCTGCTCAGGCTGTGATCCTCAACTCTCAGCTCTCAGCCTCCTGAATTAGAATTACAGACATGAGCCATAGGTGCCTGGCTCTATTTTGTATACAAAGTACAGTATTGCAAATTGAATAATATTTTCAAGTTATATATTGAAAACTTCAGAGGTCTGAGGGTGTGGTTTAAGAGTTAGAATACTTGACCCTGTGTTCAAACCCCTGTACCGTCAGTAAAAGAAAAATTCAAGGCATTCATATTTCCCACTCATAAATGAGACCATGAAATGTAAATATTCTATTTATGAATTAAAAAAATTAAATACAGGATCTTACTTTGCAGTCTAGGGTGCTCTAGGACTTAATATACAGCCCAAGCTGACTCAAGATCTCAGTTTGTCCTGTGCATATGTTCTACACTGAGCTATACGTCCATCACCCAAATCTATAAACACCTTATTAAACTTTATAAAGCTGGACATGATGGCACACACCTACAATCCTATCACTTGGGAGACTGGTGGACTGTCACTCCATGCCTGTCTAGGCTAGTGAGACCCTGTCTCAAAACAAATACAACACAGGGGCTGGGAAGGTGGCTTAGTGGTAGAGTGCTTGCCTTGCATGAGGCTCTGGGTTCTATTCCTCAGCACCACATAAGCAGAAAAAGCTGGAAGTAGTGCTGTGGCTCAAGTGGTAGAGCACTAGCCTTGAGCTGAAGAGCTGAGGGACAGTGCCCAGGCCCAGAGTTCAGGCACCATGACTGGCAAAAACAAAAACAAAAACGGGCTGGGAAGGTGGCTCAGTGGTAGAGCACTTGCCTTGCATGCCTGAGGCCCTGGGTTCGATTCCTCAGCACCACATAAGAAAAAAGCCGGAAGTGGCACTGTGGCTCAAGTGGTAGAGTGCTAGCCTTGAGCTGAAGAGCTGAGGGACAGCGCCCAGGCCCAGAGTTCCAGCCCCACGACCGGACCCCCCCCCCCAAAAAAAAAAAACAAAAAACAAATACAACACACACACAGAGACAGGCATGTGCAGACTTAGGCACACATATATACAAAGAACAAATGAGATAAAAGGAGAAATTGTTGAAACAAAGTACATTTCCATATAGATGAAGATTGAGAATCCTTAGTGAATTAAAAAGACATAGCTGCATTGTTTCAGAGAACCACAGGAAAAACAGGATCCTGTACAATTTTCAGCAAGAAAATTACCATCAAAGTTATAGGACTCAGATCCCTTAAAATTAAAAGAGCAAGCTGGGTGCTGGTAATCTTAACTACTTAAGAGGCTGAGATCCAGGATTCTGGTTCCAAGCCAGCCTGGGCAGGAAAGTCTGTGAGACT